CAACAAAGAAGGTCGGGCTAGGCCGTATTGGCGCAAGGATGGATGGGTTGAGACACGTCCTGTTGGGTAGTGGGTGCTTGGCCGCGAAGAAAAGCTTGACTCACAGGACCTGGTTGTTAACGAGTGAAGAGGGCACGTTGTTGGCCCAAGCACTGCAAAAGGGGGATCACCCTTCTACAAACACGTATCGCACGAAACCGCCACTATCTCTGCAGATCCGCGTATAGTGCTGAGGATTCCTGACAGCTCGTTGTATCCCAGAGCAACCACGATTTACTGCTATACCCGCTCTCTCAACCCTGACTCGGAAACGTGGCAGGTTGTCGATATCCTGGAGCAGTGCCCGTCGTCCAAACACGCCTGGCCTTTCGGGCTGGTTATGAAGGGCCCCATGCCGCACGGCCGTGATTTCCTGCGCTTCGCCAAGTTTGGCACGTTGCAGTACAGCTGCGTCAAACCTCTGGCTGCTTTTGTGGCGCTAGTGCTGGCTCCGTTCGGGCTGTTCCAGGAGGTGCGTTGCTTCGGTGGCGTCCGTGTACTTCTGTAGCGCAGAATGTTGTGTTGGCGCGCAACAACACAGTGGTAGTGCCTGACCTCCCCGGCAGCTGCTCTTGCTTCGAGCCATTCAGAACTTCCCGCGTGTTTTTGTGTCCGGCGGTACCTGCGACATACACAGCACGGGGGGGAAATGTGTAGGCAACGGTGCTTGGAGCTTGTGCGCTGTTGTAAAGCCCATCATAGCATACCAACCTACGTTATCGGGTAGTATAAAGTTGTTTTTCAGCTTGTAGCTCTTCGGACCAACCAGCTTCGTTTCACGCCATCGCACTACCCCCATGGTTGTCTTCCATGGTATGGCCGTGCTATCCCGCTGGTAGGGAGATTTCAGCATCTACGGGGGTTGGCTGTATATCTCGTTCGTGGTGAACCTGAGCGTCTGCTACGCGTTCTACTGCCTGGGTATGTTCTACTACGTGCTCAAGACACCGCTCAAGCCGTTCGACCCCGTGCCGAAGTTCTTGTGCATCAAGGCAGTTTTGTTCTTGTCCTTCTGGCAGGTGTGTGTGTGTGTGTGTGTGTGTGAGTGATGTTTGCTAAACGCATCGACCGCGCTAACCGGATGGTCAAATGAAAAGACGTCAGTATTAGTGCGGTTGAAAACAAAGAAACCTTACAAATGCCGTGATGTGGGACCCCGTGAGGGGGCTTACTGTGGGAGACTGAGCTACTCTCCGGATTAAAGTCAGAAACGGTAGCAACAGAGAAAAACTGCACGTGTTTGCCGCTTGTGTGTTCTGTCTGTCTGTCTGTCTGTCTCTTTCTCTGGTGGCTTTGTCAAAATGGTCAAGGGTTTCAATGCGTGAAGGAGGTTCGAGCAGGCACATATCCCCAACTTCGTTGATTCCTGGAAAAACGTGTTCCCAGATGCGTTCCCGCGTCGGTTTCGCCCTGCTGTTTTGCACGCGGTGCGGGAAAAGTAGTTGCGCCGCTGTTTTGTGGCCTTCGATATGTCGATTTTGTACGATGGAGAAAGGTATTTCGCGGTCGTTTTGACAGAGACATTCAACGCTGTAGCACTACATGGTGGTCCGTGGAACTCATGCTGCTTCGTAGTAGTATCTCCTGTCCTCTGCAAGCTGTCTCATGCTGTCAGCTGGGGTGGAAGTTGTCCAACCACAGATGCAGGTCGTTACTGCTTTGAGTCTCTTGTTTTAGTTTTCTTGTTTTTAGGTAAACACCATGCAGCCCTGTTGATTCTAATCTAGCTGGATCGCACTCGACACCACGTGGGCACATGATGTGGAAGAACTCCTGCACCTCATTATGACGTCATGACGTCCAAACACAGTATCTGGGAACGCCCAAAAGCCATGTTAACGTACAATCACACGCCCTCCTCATATGGCCGACGTAGACCAGTTTTGTTGGCCACGTCTATCCGCCTCTTGGACGTCTAGTGATGAGGGGATGCAATACACGAGCGCCCTTTGCTGCCGTCCCTTGTTGCTCAATCTCAGCTGGGACGCTTGGTTAGTGGGTACAAGACTTAAAGGCAAGCAACACATGAGACCCCGTTCCCTTCCCCCGTGTCTCCTCCCCTTGCTGCCCGCGTTACAAAACAAGGGTATCGTGATTGCCGGCTTGGTGAAGCTGAATCTCATTCACGAGATGGGAGGCTGGACGACGAACAACGTGGAGAAGGGCATTCAGGACTTGCTCGTCTGTGTTGAGATGCTCGTGATAGCGATCGCGCACACCAGGGCCTTCTCCTGCAAACCTTACGAGGACGGCGCCCCGCGGCGTGACGGAGCGAGCCTGCTGGAAGCCCACTTCGCTCACCATAGCGCTATCAGGGATTTCAATGAGGTGAGCGCGCTCGGTGTACGGACATGTTCTCAAGCATGCGTACTTCGCAGCAGTAGCCCATGTAGCGGTATTTCTAGTTGTACAACTGCTGGCTCTTTACGTCCCTTCCACCTGGATTATGCCCCACTAATCCCCCCGCCCCGAAGATAGGATAAATAGGGTAGGAAAACATTCTGAGCCACCTTTGACAAAGTGGGAAGGAATGATTGGCCATCGTTGATCGGTCCTGTGGGAACAATGCTCCGTCCTCTCGAGCAACACGTGGTCTACTGTAGCAGTTAAGGCATAGAAAACATGAGCGTACCCCCCCCCCCCCCCCCCCCCCCCCCCCCCCCCCCCCCCCCCCCCCCCCCCCCCCCCCCC